AAAAAAAAAAAAAAAAAAAAAAAAAAAAAAGAATATTTTCAGCCTAAAATCGGCAGAAAAATAAGAATATTCAGCCTGGGCCGGAAAAACAACATTCTTATAAAAAAAGAGTGTACTTCGTATGGACGATTTTGTCAGAACCAAAATTTCTTGGATGCATAGATAACCAAATTTTCTTACCCATGGTGCTCCGCTATAATTATTGAGATTTGTTTTCCCTACGGAACACGAGTCTCGACAAAATAGAGAGCTTTGTGGAAAAGGCAAATAACTTTCACTTCTCTATAACTATTCACGGCTGAGATGTCAGAAACAGAGATCACTTTCTTGGACACAAAAGTGTACAAGGGGGTAGATTCAACAAGGAATCAATCCTAGACGTGCAAACACATTACAAACCTGAACAGAAACCTTCCAGTTCACGAACTTCTACTCGTGTCACCCACCAGGCGTTAAGAAAGGCTTCATTAAAGAAGAAGCGCTCAGCCTTCTAAGGGCTAATTGCTCGCAAACCACATTTGAGGGGAATATCAGAAATTTCCAAAATCGCCTGATAGAAAGAGGCTACCCTGCCGCTATTTTAAGAAAGTACCTCTCCGAGGTAAAATTCGCCGAAGGAAAACAGCCCTGCAACAGATAAGCAAATCCGCACGTAAAAAACTACTGCTTTCTGTTACACAAAGCACCCGGCTTTAAATAGCCTGAAGAGAGTACTAACGGCTAAGTGGCACCTTATACAAAACCAGTAACGCCTGAGAGAAATCTTTAAGGAGCCTCCCCTCATATCCTAGTTAGAGCGAAGCTCTGAAGGTCATATAACTTCCAATACGACTAAGGTTTTTTACCATTTACATGGGCAAACCGGTCGCTCCACAGTTTAGGCAAATGGTAAGCAAAATTCAGGACTTGGAAATTTCTTCCCGGAATCGAGTTTATCATTTGTACAGATCAGTTCCATTTACCGAAAACGACCACGAGGGCCCGAAACTAGTATCGAAGATGGGTTTGAAGAAATGGAACACTAATTTCTGTTTGGAATATCCCGTCCAGTAAAACGGGACTATCTTTTCAGTTTTCAGATGTTCCGTTGTTCCCGGAAATTTTCCGCTGGAACGACCAAAAAAGTCATGTTCCATTTACTTTCCAACCGGATTTTCCGGAATCTTTTTGTAAATGGTAAACAAACTACAAGTGTCGCTTATTTTTAACCTGAATACACAGTAGCGTGCTGTAATTGTCAAGACTGACTAGACTACGAGTAGTCCCCCATTTTTCCTCAGGGATAGTAGAGCGAGCAAAACGCGAGCGCGCGTGAAAATCAACCCACGCGAGAAAAGGCGACACGCGGCGGGAGAGAGAAAAATGAGGGACTACAGACAAAGCCCAAGCTTTTGAACTAATGCGTTGCTCTCACAACGCAAAACTCTGATTGGCTCTTTCATGGAAATCTGTCAACATCTGTCAAAAACGCGCCAGCCGCTATCAACACTCGACATAATCACAATTACAGAACTAATAACTAGAGCAGAACTAATAACAGCAAAGAACAAATAACTAGTCAGAGTTGCTCTTGTAGAAGAAACTAAGAAGAAAGCCAACCCGGCAACTGATGAGGTTCGCGTGGAGAACCGAAACCATGGTCTTGTCCGATCACAAAGTGGGAAGTGAATAACGGAACAGTCGCAAGGCTGTTAAGCTTATTCAAAAGTTATCACCAAGGGAGGAACTACGCACTCCAGTCCAAAGACTCACATTATCTCCAGAAAAACAAGCGGCAGTTAAAATTCACGAGCAGTCATCACTGAGTCACATCGCAATTCTCCATAGTTAATGTAGTTTTAGTTTAAGCTGCAATCCATTCTTCGAGATTTGGATATCGTTATCAGTCCTGCTAAAATCGCTAACGAGCTGAGCACAGCGTGACAAAACATTGCAGGAAACCGTCACATTCACGGCCAAAAAGAAAATCGCTTAAAATTATTCAGATCCAGGAGGCAATCGCCGGAGAAATTAAACAACCCAAAACCCTTATTTAGCCGCATTGAAGAGCTTTACTTTTCAAAACGAGGTCAAAGAAAATGCTCTTGCATTAGAGGGCAAATCATGCCGACCATAAACAATAACCGCAGGAAATTAATATGCGTGTCACGACCTCTCGGTATGAAATAAGCGGCAAAAATCACATTCGCTCAGTCAAAACGTTTTCCTCCAGAGCATAATCGATCCGTCAGAGAAAAATAATTCACTGGAACAAGCAGCATTTTGGCATGAGTAAAAGTCGTGTGTTGCCTACACTATCAAGTTCTTCACGCGAAACAGCCGTGAAGAAAATTAGTATCTGGGTTTTCTTTTGCTTGCAATAAATATCCCACGCAGTTTACCGATGACAAGAGCAATGACAGTTCAACGAGGGAAGGAATCCCATTGGATGCGCTTAATTGATTTGGAAGGGGATACGAACTTCACACTCCGAAATCAGTCGGCCGTGAAGGGTCAAAAGCTTGGGCTTTGTCTGTAGTCCCTCATTTTTCTCTCTCCCCGCCGCGTGTCGCCTTTTCTCGCGTGGGTTGATTTTCACGCGCGCTCGCGTTTTGCTAGCTCTACTATCCCTGAGGAAAAATGGGGGACTACTCGTAGTCTAAGACTGACCGATCGCCTGGTCATATTTAAAACGCGAGAACAATAGGCTCTTAGCATGACTTGATCACCTGATCAACTTTCAGTAAACACGAAAACCGTTCTCTTTTGTTAGCACAAGCTGAAAGAACATATTAAAATTAGGTAACCTGAGAATTTTCAGCCGTATATCTCAAAAGTAGCGATTGCAACGGCCGCCGAAAGTGAGAAGCATTTGTATGAGGAAAGCAACTTTTGCCATCCAGTCACGCTTGCATGGTTTTCCAGACAAATCCTTGTAACATTCTGAGTTTTTAAAACGTCGTTAACTCTTTCCCTTACGCATTCAACGGCTCAAACTTCCTGTTATGAATTAAAAGGAGACTTGAGCCCCGTAATGCTTAAGGAAATATTTCATAATCGTTTTGAAAATTTCGAATTTACAAGGATTTGTATGGAAAACCATGCAAGCGTGACTGGATGGCAAAAGTTGTTTTTCTCATACAAATGCTTCTAACTTTCGGTAGCCGTTGCAATCGCTACTTTTGGGAAATACGGCTGAATTTTAATATGCTCTTTCAGCTTGTGCTAACAAAATTGAACTGTTTTCATTTTTACAGAAAGTTGATCACGTGATCAAGTCATGCGAAGAGCCTATTGACAGTCTCCAGACAGGCGTCTCCCTTCCTCCGTCCTCGCGCGCCCCTCGCGTATCGCTCGTGCCCCAAACCCCCTTTCCCTTAACCTGGTTGGCAGGCGTTTGAAAGGGAAGGGAAAGGAAGTTTTAGGCCCGAGAGAAACGCAAGGGCTCGCGCCTAAAACTCCCTTTCCCTTTCCTTTCAAACGCCTGCCACGCGGGCTATGCAACGCTCCTGTTCTTTTTTTATTTGCAATCAGTCTATCAAAGTCTCGGTCTGTAGCCTGCGTAGCAAGCGTTTCCAATCGAGTTATTGCGCCAAAGTTAGAGCGGAAGCAAAAAAAAGGTTGAAGGGGGAGGGGGAGGGGAGAAGAGGAGGTTCCTTCATTCCCCTCCCCCTTCTCCGTCATTCATTTTTTTTTTGCTCTTGTCCCAGTTTTGTAGACGAACCTCGCGAGGAAACGCTTGCTACGCAGGCTACTCGGTCTGAGACTGCACCCACTCTCGGTTAAGAATATATCTCTTATTTTAATGAGTTGATTTTTAAAAAAATCAACTCATTATTATGCTCTCATGCCGCAGAAATAGTTCCTTTTTGTCTTAAAAGGCAATTCACTCGTCTGTAACGCCATACATAACCCTGCGGCGAATGCTTTCCGCTTACACGGTGGTTGATCACAAACACGTGCACAGAGCTACTCAAGCTGTTTTGCCTTCTTCCTCCGTCAGTGGTTTTAGTCTGCGGTTGTGTGTTTATTTGACTTGAAATATAATGGCAGCATCACATTTTGTATTTACAAGCTTTGCAGTCCTTGCCCTGATATCTCCTCTTGGTAAGTAACATTGAACTGGTGATTTGCTCTCTCACTGAAGACTAGATATTCATGTCGTTCATGCTCGGCGTAGCCAATCGAATGTTCGGTAGTCGAACCCAATCAATTTCCAGTCGTTCGATTGACTTTGATTGGGTTCGTTAATGGAACTTAATCGAACTCTCCCCAAAATTTTACCAATCAAGCGCAATCGAACCCTGCAACAATCCAACATAAAACCACTTTCGATTCTGTTCGATTCATCTGGTTTCAAACAAGGCGTTGCCTTCAAATAAGTTATGCATTGGCTTCAATTTCAAGCATGAGTTCACTATATTGGTTAGTATCCGATCACTTCAGTGTAAAATTGCATATTGCTTTCCTTTCTTAGTCGCAAGAGTTTTTGGCCCAGAGACATTCCATTTAGTCCTTAATTTGACGAACAAAAAATCTCGACAGGTAAGCGATCTTATAGGATCCTGTTGCTCTTGCAAAGTAGTTTGACATTCGATTCTGGAAATCTAAATCGGCGTGGGAACCTATCATCGTGAAAAACATTACAAATGACTGGGGTATGGTGGGGAACTGTCAGAACTGTGTGAGCGGCTGACAACTAAGGGAAAATTTCCATTTTGCTCCAATAAATTACAGTCAAACTTCCATGTGTAACCACCTCCCATCCAAAATTTTCCCAGTCGAAGCCCGGTGTGCGACCGAAGCCCGGTGTGCGACAAACGCAGACTGCAGACTTGCAGACTGGCAGGTAATCGAGGTAAACATTGTTATGGAATGCTTTAACAGATTTTCTACCCCTAGACTTTAAGTCTTTTAAAAGTTTAGTTTAGGGATAGGGAATCTGTTAGAGCTTTTCACAACAATTTTTACCTCGTTTACCTGCTAGCTCTGCAAGTCTGCAGTCTGCGTTTGTCGCACACCGGTCAAAGCCTTACAGTTGGAACCTTTAGTAAACGACCACCTGCTAGCTCCTGCTGTAAGCGACCGCGACAACTTTTTGGGCCTCATTGTTTATGATTTTCCTTTGTTTTTAACCTCTCGTAAGCGACCACTTCACGCATTCTCTGATTCTCTGATCTATATGTTCGCTGTGTGCAATATGCTACTTAGAATATACAAAGAACTTTAGTGACAAAATAGAACGACGCGCAAAGTAAATGTGCCGGGACCTCTTCTCGGAAGAGGCCTTGTGGTTCGATTCTTGTTAAGTGAGTGAGCGCTAGAGTACAAGCATTCTCTCTTTTTTTCTTGGTTCTTCGAGCAAAATTGGCTCATGGCTGGTTAATATAGTGTGATGACGTCAGTCAGGTCGTCGTACACCAGCCATAAGCCGCAAAATGCGTGAGACACGCATGGCTGAAGGGGCAAGAGTAGTCTCCTTCGCAGCCGTTATTAGGGTCGTCACTCGTCACGCAACGCTCCTGGGGAGGAGCGTTGCGTGACGAGTGACGACCCTAATAACGGCTGCGAAGGAGACTAGGGCAAGAGCGGAAAGGGAAAGGTCAATGTCCAGACAAGAATGTTGTATTGCGCTGCAAGCGTATCGCACTCTGCACCACAACACACACACCAAGCATTCGATGCTACAAAGGTTGAGGTAGAACACACAAACGAAAGTCGCATGTGAATAGTATTTGAAATCGGTCAGTGTAAAACGCAGACTGCGGACTGCAGACTGCAGACTGCGGACCAGGGGTAAAATGCAGACTGAGTGTAAAATGCAGACTGCAGACTGAGAGTAAAATGCAGACCGAGCATAAACTGTAGTTGTGGAAAGGTTTAAGGGTAAAAAAATCCCGGGAGGAGAGGAAGGTGGATGCCACCCCCATAAGGTTTTTCTGAGTTTTTTCCTAGAGGATAAAACATCAGCACCTCGCGTTCTCAGTAGTTGTTCGTACGTCCCTCGTGCAGATTTTGAAATAAGTTTACTGACAGAATTTACTAAGGTCAAGAGCAATTAGAGCAGTAAATCTTGTGGCTAAAATCATGCAAAGTGCTTATTTATGTGTTATTTTTCATGTAAAGCACAAAAAATTACCATTTCTCACGGTTTTAACCTGATTTTGAATTCTTGGTAAAATCCAAGATGGCGACTATTGTTGGTGACGTCAGAGGTCTCCAGCAGCTCCACCACCCATAAAACCTTGAAACCTTGTGTATGGCTCAGTGTCATGCAGCAAATACAGAAACACCAAATCAATCGTCAATGACCTGCTCGAAAGTTTACTCTGTTGGATCAAATCTCACAGCATTAAAAACTTACAACAACGGTGTAAGCGGCAGACCTCTGCTTGTATGATGATGGAAGATCCTTATCCAAAATTTTTAAGAGCTCAGTAAGCGAGTCTTTTTCATAAGGCGACTAAACTCAAATCAGTCCCTAAGGTACGGAATTTGTTGTACGTGTATATTACGTGGATTGGGGTAGTTTATTTTTCTCTTAACTCTCTTTTGCGCAGTAGTCTGTCTTTTTCAGGTAATTTCAAAACGGTCAGTGTAAAACGCAGACTGCGGACTGCAGACTGCAGACTGCGGGCCAGGGGTAAAATGCAGACTGAGTGTTAAATGCAGACTGCAGACTAAGAGTAAAACGCAGACTGGGGTAAAATGCAGACCGAGCATAAACTCTAGTCGTGGAAGGGTTTAAGGGCAAAAAAATCCCGCAAACTGACCTGTAAACGAACACTTACTTGATGACATCTGCTTTCACAAATCCATTCCTTTCTTCTCTGGAACGTCGTGGACGACCCGAAAACATAATCGCAATCTTGAACCTTTTTTCCATCCGAGAGACTTCACGCTTCAATTTTTGATGCGAAGTTTTCGATATACGTGACCAGGGACCGTGAACTGGTACAACACCAACACCACGATGTTTACGCTTAAATGAAAGCTGCTGACCCAAAATACTGTACAGGAATTATGGCGATAAAAACGGGAGTAAGTCATTCCAACAACAAAGAAAGATGTTCTGCAGGAAATTTGGATGACCTTCCATGAAAGTATTGCAAATCAAGGTACGCAGACTTAACCTGTTTGGATGTTCATTGAAACTTCTGGCGAATGTGCAATTCACTTCGACTAGAAAGCGAAGTGTGTAACTGATACCGGCTAGCTATTTCACCGATTTGAAGAAGTAGGAGCACAAATGTTTAAAAATGTCTACAGTCTTTATTCTGCATTTTACCCCAGCCTGCGTTTTACTCTTAGTCTGCAGTCTTCATTTTCCACTCAGTCTGCATTTTACCCCTGGTCCGCAGTCTGCAGTCCGCAGTCTGCGTTTTACACTGACCGATTTCAAAATCAGTGGATATGGTCGTCATGAAAAACCGTTAAACAAGGTTTAAACCTACCTGTGAGCAGGTTTAACTTTCTATTGTTCCTTTAGTCGGTGCCTAGACACGATCTAAACAAGGTTACGGAACAACAGCGTTAAAATAATTGGCATTTTTGGTTAAAACATGGGGTAGAAGGTGACTTTCTTAACGCTGTTCAAACTTGGCTTAAATAACCGGCCCATAGATTTTAGTTAATTCCAGGTTAATCAAAATATTTTTGTTTTAAAACTGCTTCACATTCACACTATATACTTGAGAGAGAATTTTCCGATTCAATTGAAACTGGATGCGTTTTGTCTTTCTGCCTACCAAAATAGAACTAATCGCGTCCGTTGAGTTCGGCAATAAAACTCACGAGTTCGATTAATCGAACTCACCAAAACGTTCCAGTTGCCAAACCAATCAAACAACAATCCAACCAATTGGGTTCGATTGATATTTCGGTCCGGTTTCGTTCGATTAGCTACCCCAGGTTCATGGAATACCAGAATACTGATCGGGAGTTGAGAACCAAGTTTATCTCAGTATTTAGAAAAGCTACAATCGGCGACAAAATGAGTTGAGACACTTCGCCTAAAACTGGGCTTTTCAAGTTACCTTTTAATAACTTCAAAAGGAGGAAATATAGCTTTCCTCCCCCATCCCCTCCATGCAATATTGTGCCGATGTTCGAACTACCTATATAGAAACCAACAAACACCACAACTTTGAATGGAGGGGACAGGGAAGGGGTGTGGATTATTTTGTTCTCTGCAGTTACCCTATTTGAGTACAATGTCGCAACAATTTTGTCGCCGATTGTAGCTCTCCCTCTATTTGATTATATATCTAAATAAAAAGTAGATCTCTTTCCGTCTAAATAGGTACTTCAACAGAGTACAAGTGATCAGAGAGTAATCATCAGTATACGTATGCGAGGTTCAGCTTTAGGACAAACGGAACGTAAAAAAAATTTCCATTAATCAAGTGGCAGTAACGGCCGCTTTTGGAGCTGCCTTTCACCTATCAATGCTTAACCATAAGTGGATTGCAGATCGATGACTCGAAAAATTCTTGCCTGTGAATACAACCAATTCTCCTCTAGACTAAGAACAGTCTCTCTTTTTCTTCAGAGATTTAATTATGAGTCATGGGAGTGCCCCTTTCGTTTCGCACCATCCTCCACGTACGTGTTCATTTTTGTGTCTCGCTCGACGGACTAAGAAAAAAGAGAGACTGCTCGTAGTCTATCTCTCCTCTCTCCTCGCCGCTACGAATATTTCTCTCGTCTTGCAAAACCAAAACGTCCTAAACGGCGAGGAGCGAGAAGAGGTGGCCTAGGGAGGGTACTTTAAATTTCAAGTGACAGAGATGATCGAATGGGGGCAAGAAGAGAAACACAAAAAGATCTGTGGACCAAAATTTAACCCCCAAAAAATCCCATGCTGAAGGTTACAAACACTGACGAAAATGAACGGCTTTGAAAAACTGTTAAGCTGGGACAAGTTTCCAAAGACCGCAATTGCAATCAGTCTTCTTTAATCTTCTTCCATGACGTCTGTTTGTTTTTCCGCGCCTCCTTTTAATGTTTGGAGGTGCTATTTTTATATTTTTCTCAATTCTTGGATTGCAGCCAAGTGACAAGGCGGCTATGTTGGCACCAACATGGCCGCCGTGACGTCATGTGCAAACCAGTAGGAGAATTTTCATCGATATGCTGCACCTCTATGGCACACGCGGGGAATACTAAGATATGGGAGAAAATAATTTCGGCGTATGCGAAGATGTGCAGCATAACCGGGTTTTCGTCGCTGAGGGGAGGTGGGAGGGCAAAAAACGCAAGTATATATGCACTCTCGGGGCATGAACGCATAGAAAAGCGATCTGATCAGTGATCCTGATGTTGGCAAAGCATTTGAATACCACGCTCAATACCCAGGGGTAATGCAATGGTCCCTGGAGGGAAAACGTGCTAAATCATGTGGCCCGCGTGCCTATTTCGGCGTAAACATATCAAGGAAAATAGCAATTTGGTGGCAGCTCTCACTGTTTGAATTTTGATAAATTTCGTGACACAGCTCCTTTAAGTTAACCCTGTAAGTCCCGAGACTGACCAAAATAAATGTTCTCCTAACGATACCCTAACATTGTCAAGAGATTAGGTTATGAGAAGTAATAAAATGATCACCAAAAAGAAAATGCCTTGATCATTTACCAAGTTCTCTCAACTCCTTCTTTAAGGAAATTTATGGAGATCAGTTTGAAGAACTTGTATGTGGATGTTGGGCTTAGAGAGTTAAGCACATAGCCTCCCACCAAGAGAGGATAAAGGGGACAGAGAAGGCATCCCCCATACACACCCTATTCCATAGGTAGTTCGTCTCGAGTTATTTTTAAGACCATAAATCCCAAGGGGGATTAGACAACAGCCAATCATATAGCGCGAATGTGTTCCGCGTGGATGACCCACGCTCAGAGCCAGGCGTCCTTCACGAATTGACGTAGAAAAACTGGCGGAAGACGCAGAGAGCGATATTAGTATTTGTTTTGTCGACGAAAACGACTAAAGAGAGATTTCTGCTAAAGCTGTGTCAGCGAAACGG